TAACAATTTTGATGTACTTTTGATTTCTGGTTAATTCGATTCAAATTTGTAATGATATAGAAGTTGAAACAGATTTTTTTTTTCTTTTTTTTTTTGAGATAGAGTCTTGCTCTGTCACTCGGGCTAGAGTTCAGTGGCATCATCATAGCTCATTGCAACTTCAAACTCCCAGGCTCAAGTGATCCTCCTGCCTCAGCCTCCTGAGTAGCTGGGACTACAGATGTACACCACAACACCTGGCTAATTTTTCTATTTTTAGTAGATATGGGTCTCACTCTTGCTCAGGCTAGTCTGGAACTCCTGAGCTCAAGCAATCCTCCCACCTCATCCTCCCAGAGTGCTAGGTTTACATGTGTGACCCACTGTACCCGGCCTTGAAATAGATCTTATAATAAAACATCAATACCATTTTGTTTAAATCCTCCTCTAAAATTATCACTTTTATCTTGAAAGACTAAATAATTGTATAGTTTTTGTTTCTTGATAGTAAAAAATTCACATATTTCTATTTCTTAGGATAAATAGGTAAAGTGTTCCTTTTTATAACATTCCAGTAAGAGGATATATAAATTTTGATTTTCAGTGAATTTGAGACTTTTGTGTTAGATATTCTGAGAATAATTAACAGCCTTGATTTCAATTTTCCTATAATTTTCACCTACTCTGACTTTCAATAAACCCATTGTTTACAGATTGTTCCTTCTAGCAACCCAAGTTAAAAACTACTTTTAGAAAACTACTTTCAGAAAGGGGAAAAAACAGTGAGATAAATCACCATACGGTTGAGATTATATACATAGTGGTTCATAATCATAAAAAGCTCAAGTCTGAAGCCTGTAATAAATCCTAGGAAACTAAACTGATTTACCATAGATGAAAAAATTGCTATGCTCTCAGTTCAATGGGTCATTTCATCTAAGAGGAAGGACCTGTGAAAATCAGGAACAAAGTTGATAAATTTCATGGATTGGTCATGGTGAGCAATATTGAATTTCATGCTTTGTCACAGATGAATTGAAAAATTTTAACCCCCCAATGCATTTGTAAAACAAATAAATTATTATCAAAGATTGCATATTTTAATAATAATAATGTAGCATACATTCATTATTGTTAACCTATGGCCTTTTGATACATTTTTTAACAACTATGCAAGTACTCAAATCTCTGTGATTTGTGCATTAGATATTGCACTGTAACCTCAATCAGCAAATTTAAATTGCTAATTTTAACCAGGATTACAGAACATTTTACACCAAGCACTGCCTCTGGTTTTTCTTAATATAAAACATAGATAGCTATAATGATTTGAAACGTGAACAAAAGTCTGGGCCCACTTTAATTCTTTCTTAATATTTCTCAGTTCAAAAAAATTTCACAAATTTTATCAATTCATGTTGATTTAAATTTTATGATTTTTTCCTGGACTGTAAATCTAATCTTTGAAATACATTTTTTCCTATTGACAAAGGAAATCTACAGGGCAGCATGTTTTTCACCAACTAGGGAGGAATATATGTGTTACAAGAATGCTATTACTGACTTACTGAGCTTCTTTTTACAGCCAGGATATGAAGTTGTCATAGTATTAGTATTTTAGAAAAAAATTGTTTCTCTATCTCACATTAAAATATTAAACCATATAGTTTGAGAAATTGGTGAAAAGTAACAATCAGATATTTATACTATTGAAGTTTTATAAATCGTACCTGACATTTGTCACTCTGCGTGATATGCCCTTTTAAAAGGTGACTGCCTTTATTTCAAGTAGTTCTGACAGATAAACTGAATGCATTTTTCTTTGTAAGCTTAGTGTAGGACCACCAAATCCCAGGGCAGGCATATATGATTTTAAAGTCTTTTCAGGAAGAATGAAACCTGTTTGCAAAAATGTGTATTCTTTTTTAACTTGCCTTTGTAGATTTCTGTTAGAATGTTGCAAAAGGAATACTTTAGGTTTGTTCTCCAGGGAAAGAAAGCTGCTGAAACATAAAATATTCATCATGTACTTTCCAAAATGTTTATCACTTATAGGTCCTTTTGTAAAGGCGGTAAAACTGTACATTCAGAAACATATTCACATGCATGTTCATACACATACCCACACAAAAGTTTCATATGTTGCATTTTGTGTGCCTAGACTATTAGTTTTTGTTTGTGTATAGCAAGTTAAAAATTATTTGCTGGAATCTTGGGTAAAAGCAATTTAATTTTAATTCAACAAATATGGTTGCCTCCCTAGCCCCTATCTTAAAGCGCTAGGGATACAACCTAATATCTACCCACAAGCAATTTAAGAAAGTCTGATAAAATTTTTAATGTTAAAATTAAATAATAAATTTATATATAGCCAGATGTTTTGATGTGTTATATCAAAACTCCTAAAAATAGAAACTTTGTGAAAGTTGACTGTTCCTAAAATTTAATAAGATGGAAGAATGGGATTTCAGTACAAGTGCCAACATAGCAAGCAAAGGTGGGGGTCATCAGAAAAAAGCCAGAATGTTGATTACTAAGCCAAGGAATAACAGATTTATCTTGAGGTACACTTGGTGTCACTTATGAAGCTTTTGAATCACAAAATTCCAAGGTATTCCAGTGATGTGTCTATAGTTGTATTTCAAACTGTTATATCTTTTGAGGTTATGGTCTTACCTGTTTTTTGTTTGTTTGTGAATATATTGAACTAAAACATCGATACCTCAAGAGTGGCTGGCACACTTTGGAAAACAGTTAGGCAGTTCCTCAAAATGTTAAGCATAGAGTATGCTTATGTAAATTGTTGAGAATATGGTCATGTGACCCAGCAATGAAAACACATGTCCACACAAATATTTGTATAGGAATGTTCATAGCAGCATTTTTCATAATAACACAAAGTGGAAGCAACCCAAATGTACATCAACTGGAGAATGGGTAAAGAAAATGTGTCATATACATACAGTGGAATATTATTTAGCAGTTGTAGCAAGTACTGCCATGTGCTACGATAGGGATGAACCCTCAAAAACATTATGCTAAGTGAAAAAAGCTATACACAAGAGTCCACGTATTATTTTATTCCATTTATAAGAAATGTCCAGAATAGGGAAATCCATAGAGACAGAAAGTAGGTCAGTGGTTGCCAGGGGCTGAGGGGAGGGAGAAATAGGGAGGGACTGCTAATGGGTACAAGGTTTCATTGGAGGATAAAATGTTCTAAAATTAACTAGTGACAAAGGTTACACAACTCTGTGAATATAGTAGAAACCACTTGTATGCTTTAAATGGGTAAATTTTGTGGTATGTGAATTTTATAAAACATTAAAAATGAATATAGACTGAATGGAAATAAAATCAAAATATTTAAAATGTAAAAAAAAAAAGTGTCTGGCAGAATGCAAAATGATCCAGAACGTAAAGTATCTTGTCTCAGCCATTTTGTTTAAATTCAATGATTCCCTTTGTCCACCTTCTTCTATTTTTAAGGGGAAATCTCTTTTAAAAAAAAAATACAAAATTAAGCAGCGTATGTGCGGTCCTAATAAGATCAAACACTGCAAAAGAACCAGTCATTAACTTTGGAGAAGCCTGTGCCCTGACTCTCACTGTCCGGCTGCTGCTGTACCCTGGGTCCAGTCTTGTTCTTTCTCTCTACCATATGTCCTGTTCTCAACCTGCCCTTTGGCTGTGCACCACCCACGATGGCTCTTCACAGATGGTCCTTTCAACTAAGCAAGTTCTGACAATATCTTCCTTTCATTCATTCTTTTTTTTTTTTTAAACTATGTACCTACTATGGGCCAAGCATTGTGTTGATCATTTTCTAACTTCAAAGAGTTATTTTCATCATGAGAAATTCAAGCCAGGGGGCAGGAAAAATGTGGGGAGCCACATTTTCCTCCAAATGTATTACCTTGATCTCTCTTAGTGACATTTAGGCAACTTCTTACAGCCTCAGGGGTAATGCTTGTTTTTGAAAGCAAAGCAGTGACTTATAAATTCTGTTTAAAATCTTGAATTTTGTTATTTCTACATATTCATAGTTAGTTGTCTATGATTTTAGAAAGGCTAAACGTGTCCTCAGTTATCCCAAGATTTCCAGTGAGGTCTCAATAGTTGCGTTTCACACTAACTCTGCTTTTTCTAAGGCTGTGGTCTTCTCTTGGTATTTTTATTTATTGAGTACTTCCAATGGCCCAGGCACCGTGGTAGGCATAGATGATGCGAGAAGTCTGACCTGACCACTCCACCCCCATAAAGCTTACATCTTTGGGATACCTTAATTCCACCATGGAGGCTTAGCCCATTAGCATCCTATTATAAGACCCAATTCTCCTGGGAGGGTAACCAAAAGCTGGGTGGCACAAAAGAAGCATAAAACCCAGCTGATTTTTTTTACCTTATCAATTGTTCTCACTTTTGATGTGCATTGGGTCTATCTCATTCTAACAACTGGCTACAGAAGCCCAAGGAGCCAACCAGTTTTGTTAAAGAACAAAGGAAGGAGGGCAGCATAAGTGTAGATCAGAAAACCAGGAGAAAATAAATTTAGGACAGAGTGCTGGCATGGTCAGCCCTGTGGCAGTGTGATGCTAAAGCCAGGGAAGGAGCATGAGCTCGTTGATGAAAGGGCAAAGGCAAGGAATTTTCCCAAATTGACTTTTTTCCCCTTAAGCAAAGCCATCTTTACAGTCTGTTAATTTGGGAATGTGAAGAAATGTATTCGGCTTCAACCTATAGACAATCATTTATTTTTAAAGGAGTATCTAAATTTGCTTGATATAGTAAATTCTTTTATGTCTTGTGGAAAATATTATTCTATGGCTCATATGATTGTATTTTACTCTCCACTATGAATTATTTAGAGCATCCTCCCTTTTAACTGTATACCAAAACATCATTAGAGGTTATCTAATAGCTAGCTCATCATTTCATTCTCCCATTGAGGCTTGTGGGCCAATTTTCACCCTGTTATACTCTCCAGAATAATGGAACTAATTTGGGATCTTGCTGTGGAATTAAATGCTCACACAGATCCCACTGCCTTTGAGACCATAAACATCTGCCATAGTACCTCTCATAGCCAAATAACCCTCACTATAACTGGTATGACTGAGAGACTGTCAGTAGAATAAAAGAGTTTAGGTACTGGCAGAAGTGTTCTGGTAAATACTGTATTGCCAGTGGCTTGTAGTCTAAGAAATTTTGGCACCAAATAGCCATTCCATTATTATTAGATCCTGCATTATTTTTTCTAGTCTTGAGGATCAAACTGTAGCTAGGCAACCATTTAGACTATTAGAAATTTCATGTCAGCTTTGAAATAAGCAGAGACCTTCCTAAGAACTATTTGCAACTATTGTCATCATATTGACATCATATGTATGTTGAGCTCTTATTGTCTGTGAGGCACTTTGCTAAGTTTTTTATATAATTACTTCACTTAATCTTCATGCTGACCTTGTGAAGTGATTATTATTTTAATCCATATTTTACAAATGAGAAAACTGAGGCTAAATAAATTGCCAGACAGCATTATCTATCTAATAACAGCACAGCCCAGATACAAACCAGGCTGTCTGGCTCTGGTGCTCCTGCAGGCATCCATACACTGCCTCTCAATAACCATCAGCGACCTTATCCTTGGGATATGGAGCAAATAAAAAAAAAAAGCAAATGTAAAAAGATTGGAGATAGAGTTAAGTCCTATGAAGAAATAAAGCAAAATAAGGGCATAGAGAAGGGAGGGGTGGTGAAAGGGATGTATTTCAGACACGTAGTCAGGGAAGACATTGTGGAGAAGGTTCTGAGGTAGAGGGCATTCCAGGTACGGTATTCATTCTTGGAGAAATGAGGTAGCCCCCAGATAACTGGACAAATGGGGATTTATACTCAAAGAAGTAGGTGGAAAAGTAGGCATAGGCTCTGCTACTATATCTCTTTGTCCACATCCTCCAGTCTCTCCTGCTCGCCCATGAAGCCCTCCATGTCTGTCCCATCCTCTTCCCCCAGGCTTTCTCTTTTTTGAGACTGCCTTTCTCTCCAAACTCCTTGCTGCATCTACTAATCACATTACACCAGCACCTTCCTCTTCCTGACTCCCTTGCTGTCGCACGTCCCTCCCCCATAACCTCCCTTTCTTGACCTCTCTATCCAGACGCTGGTACACTGCTGGAGATTATCATTCGACTCTCCTTTTGCACCTTTTGAAAATCTCCCTATTCATCCAATCTCTAGGCAGCTTCTTCTTCTATCCTTCTTCACTTTGGTCAACCCCCTGACCTTGCCCCATCGCATTGTTAGCAGATGGCCTCGAGCCTCTACTTCTCTGTGAAAATCCAGACCATCATGAATGCACTTGAACTTCTCATCTCCATTCTTAATAGCTCTTTTGGTCCCTACTCACCTCCACATCCTTTGATTGGTCTCTGATCTATGCTTCCCTTTTCCCAACTAAAGCAAATATTTTCACCTGACCTCTTGATCACATTTACCTCCTACTCCATGGCATTTTCTATCTCCTGGCTCCTTCCTCCAAGCATCTGTATTAAAAATTACCCCTCCTTTACTATTGGGTTTCTTTCCTAAAACAGTTTGCACTCATTGTTTCCACGTTTATACCTACCATTCACTCAATGCACTGCAATTTGACTTCTACTCTCTTGCAGGGGTGGGAAACCTGCGGCCTTGGGGCCATAAGTGGCCTTCCGGATCCTTGAGTGCGGCCTTTTGACTGAATCAAAATTACAGATTCGGTCAAGGAGCTGCAGTTGGGTAACTGGAGGGCCACATGTGGCCTTGAGGCTGTAGGTTCCACAGCCCTGAATGGATTCTCTTTCTCTTACCCTCTTTGCAGCTTTTAATACGATTGGCCATTTTCTCTTCTCTTGGCTTCCCACACATCACCTTCTCCTATCTCTTTGCCTACTTTGATTATCCCTTATTGGTTTCATTTGAGTGTTTCTTTTTCTCACCCCTTCCCTTAAATGTTGGTGTTTTCCAGAATTTTGTCCTTGACCATTTTTTTCATCTTATACTTTGTTTGGGTGAATTCATTCATTCCTATGGCTTCACCATTACGCTGATGACTTTCACATTGGTATCTTCAAACCAGATATCACTTGTATGTACTAGATCAGTAAATCTAAATTCTTATTGTGTGTCTCTCTTTGGATGTACTTCAAATATCTGCAGCCCCTTCAACATACTTAAAACTAAATAAAATACCTGCAATTCATCCTAGGATTTTCCCTTTTCCTTAACTTTCTGCTTCTATCTTCCCCTTCATGCCATCACCAAGTCCCTGTCATGAGAAGATGAATATTGTTAGTTCTGTTAATTTAACATTTTTTATATTTGTCATCTACTTATATCCTCTTCTGACTGGTCTACTGCAATGTCATTTTCATTGTCTCCCTTCTTCCTCCCTTCATCTCCTCCAATCTGTTCTCCTTACTACTGCCAAAGTGATTTTTATAAGATATAAAATTTCTGGTATTATTTGCATGCTATAAACTCTTCAGTGATCCCTTATTGCTGCTACAAAGTCTAGACTCCTTAGAAAACCATATCTGGCCTAGCTTCTGCCTGCCTTTCTAGCTCACAGTGGAATGCAAGGAGTGGAAATAATATAGCCTGACTTTGAAGGCTATTTAAGGAATTTTTGTTTTGATCTAGAATTTAGTGAGAAAAAAAATGGCTTTCAATGAAGAAATGATATATTAAAAGTCCAAAAATGTTCCAAGTATATTTATTTAGATAATGCTTGGCCCAGCAAGACAACCAGGGGAGAGAAGGGTCAAATTTGGAAAGTGTGAGGATACAAGAAGCAAGATGTGGAGTGAAAAGATAGGGATGGGTTTTCAAAATCAAATTCTGTTCAACATATCATTTAGTATCAGAAGACACTATTTCCTGTGTACTATATGTAAAGAGATATAGTGCCACTTCAAACAATTCCATTTCTAAAATGTTCCCCGTCATCACTTTGAACTCTATGTAGGCAAATATAGTCTCCTGTTATAAAATTTTTATTAGCTAAACTATCTGCTAAAGAATTTATGTAACAAATCCTTCTTAATGTCAAGGTTTAGAGTTGATTTGATCTAACCTAGAAAAACATTACGGCCACTTGCCAAAGACGGTTGTAGATCAGGTATTCTAGCCAAATTGTTCTAATTTTGAAATCATAATCATATATTCACAATTAAGTTCTTCTTTACAAGTCCTCTTTAGACCTTTAGGAGCATACCAAATTAATTTTAACATCTCACTTACTGTTTAGTATTTATAAATCACTTTAAAGATTAAAAAGAGGTACCTTCAGCCAAACATTTTTGCATTAGTGAAGCAGATATGACAAAATATTGGCATTTATTGGATCCAAGTTGAGGAGGATATAATGGGATATCTAAACACTACTTATGGGGATATAAGTATTAATAGTATTCATTGTACATTCTTTATGCATTTATCATTGATGAATTTTATAATGTGAGATTTAAAAAAATAAATGATAATGGTATTGTTACACTTTCCCCAAGTGTAAAGATTGTTATATGGAGGCTCATAAAGATCCTAAGTCTTAGCTCATGGTTTTTCGTGGCTATACTGACTTGCCTACCTGGCCCCCGAGTCACCTATTAACATTAATTTCAAATGGATGAAGTGGATGCAATGTCCTTTCTAGCACAATATCATTTGTGTAAAAATCATTAACTGAGGCTCAGTGCAGTGGCTCATGCTTGTAATCCTAGCACTCTGAGAGGCCGAAGCGGGAGGATTGCTTGAGGCCAGGAGTTTGAGGCCACCCTAAGCAAGAACAAGACCCCATCTCTACCAAAAATAGAAAAAAATCGGCTGAGCATTATGGTGTACACCTGCAGTCCTGGCTCCTCAGGAGGCTGAGACAGGAAGATTACTCGAGCCCAGGAGTTTGAGGTTGCAGTGAGCTATGATGACACCACTGCACTCTACCAGGGTTGACACAGTGAGACTCTGTGTCAAAAAAAAAAAAAAAAAAATCTTTAACTGAATACTAAACAAAAATAAAAAATTATTTCTGTGGTCTTCATATTTGATGTTTCCTGTATATTCTGAAATAATTATTTGTTTCCCTAGGACTTTTCAGCATGGCATGGAAAAATCTGCTGCAGATTCCTTAAAATCATGTTTTAAGCAACCATTACACTGGATTTCTTGCATATCACATTTCTACCCTACTTTACTCAGGTGAGTAAATGCCTCTAAATGCCATACTATCTATAATTCTATGATTCTTTTCAAAGTTTAATAGAAACTTTTATCTGTGAATGTAAATGCATCTTACAAAAAGAACTTACAACTTATTCACAATAGGCAGATAAGTAAAGAGTATTATTTCTCTTTTTTAAGCTCAAGAATTTAAGGCACAGGTCTCATAATCATTCTATTGGCTTAGAACTTTAGTGATGTAATGGAAAACTGTAAATTTTAAAAATTTAGTTCTGTTTTAAAACACATTCTTCTTGATCTATGACTGGAGATTTGACAGTTCTTCGGCCAATTATCAAACACAGACAGCAAAATTGGATAATTCACGTAACTAATTCAGAGCCTTAGGTAGAAGCTGGGAGAGAAATAACTTTTAAAATTATGAATAGGATCTTTCACTTATATTATTTAATTAGCAGTGTTTAAAAAGAAGAAAAATCATTTAAAGTATGAAATGTACTTCCAGAGTAATCTGATGACATTTTGTGGCATTATATGGAGTGGCAGTTTGATTCTTTGCTAAATATATCATTGGAAAATACCTTTCCTTGGTATCTGAGAATAAAAATATCATGTATAGCTAAAGGAGGTATAGTTAATCCCCATACATTCTTGGTTCATCATAGAAATACACTATCAGCCATTTCACCATCTAAGTGACTGACTGTATCACTCTCTTGAGGAACAAAAGTGCCGCCCATAAATAGAGAGTATGGAAACCTCATACACAAAATCTCTATAGACACAACAATCACATACTCCTTGCCTACTGTGTGCCTATCCCCATATGGGTAATGAAGAATCCAAAATTAATAAGACATAGACCCCTTCAAGGACCTCAATATGTTATTACTACACTTACATATAAAACTTTGTCAGCATCTCTGATTAATTCCTTATGATTGATTCCTAGAAATGGAATACTCTCAATACACTGTCATCTTGCATATAAATATATTTTATACCATTAGACGTTAAATAGCCAACTCTTTAACGTTCATTATTGAACAAATAACAAATTAAACAACTGGATCTCTCATAGCATGAGTTAAGCAAACTGTATCATTCACTTAGGATAATGGCCTCTAGTTCCATCCAAGTTGCTGCAAAAGACATTATTTAATTCCTCTTTATGGCTAGTTAGTATTCCATGGTGTGTGTGTGTGTGTATGTGTGTGTGTGCTACTTTTAGTTTTTTGAGGAATCTCCATACTGTTCCATAGAGGTTGTACTAGTTTACATTCACACCAGCAGTATATGAGCATTCCCTTTTCACCACATCTGTGTTAACATCTATTCTTCTTTGACTTATTAATAATGGCCATTCTGACAGGGGTAAGGAGGTATCTTGCTGTGGTTTTAATTTACATTGCCCTGATGATTATTGATGTTGAGCATTTTTTCATGTGTTTGTTCACCATTTGTACATCTTCTTTTGGAAAAAAATCTGTTCATGAATTTTGCCCATTTTTGGTGGGGTTATTTGTTTTTTTCTTGCTGATTTGTTTGAGCTCTTTATAGATTATGGACATTAGTCCTTTGTCAGATGCTTTAACTGATTTTTATTGCCTGCCTATTTTGTATCTGGAACCATTGGAGTTATCCCCCTTTAGGCATAGCTCTGTAAGACTTCTGCCTCCAGGCCTGCTCAGTTCAACTCCACTAGAGGCATGGGAAATCAGCATAAAAATGGATTTGTCTTTCAAATAGCTAATTCTTATATTTAGCTTTTTTTCTCCTTTCTATATCTAAAGCAAGTGAAAATGCAACAAGAAATTTCTTTCTTTCTGCTTCTATTTAGTAATCAATCTCCACTATTATCCTAACACAAATATTAGAACATGGGATAACTATTTAGCCCATAGTGCAAATGCAATTTGATGCATGCTTTCTGGAGGGCAGTTTAGTATAATAATATGTATCAAAAACTTAAAAATATTTTTGCTCCTTTGTCTAGAAATTCCATTTATAGGAATCAACTATAAGGAATTAATCAGAGTATTAGATAAATCAGTTACGGGATAACCATATGATAGACTACTGTGGAGTCATTAAAAGGGTGGATTTTGAAAAATATTTAATGACATAGGGAAATAATTATAATTTATAGTTAGTGGGAAAATACAGGTTAGTAATTATGAAATCATCAAAGTCAGCCCAATTTTTAGACGGGTGTGTAGACACAGTGCCAAGTGCTTCACATGATTATCTCCTTTAAACCTCACACCGGTTCTGGAGATAAGTACTCATGTGCTTCTTTTATGGAAAGCAAAGCGCTGTGTAGGTAGCAACTTTCTGGAGAGAACAAAACTGGAAGGCCAGGCTCTGAAGCCAGGCCTGTTCCATTCTGAAGCTCAAGCTCTTGACAACTATACCTCCACCTTTCAAAGGGAAAGCAGTTCAGGGTGATTTTAACAGGTGTGCATGAAAAATCATTCCCTGCACAAATAAAATTTTCAGTTATTCATTATGTAAAGTTTCTTTTTATGGTTTAACTTTTCAGGGCCTCTGATATGCTGGTGTGTAATGTTTATCCCTGCTATGGTTTGAATGTGTCCCCCAAAGTTCATGTGTTGTAAACTTAATCCCCAAGGCAACAGTGTAGGGAGGTGAGGTCTAATGGACCTATGTCATGTGGGCTCTACCCTCATGAATGGATTAATGTCACTATAAAATTGGCTTGTGGGAATAGGTCCACCTTCTCTTGTCCTTCCAACTTCTGCCATGTGAGGATGCAGCAAGAAGGCCCTCACCAGATACTGGCACCTTGATCTTGGACTTACAGCTTCTAGAACTGTTGAGAAATAAATTTTTGTTCTTTATAAATTACCCAGTCTGTGTTATTTTGTTATAGCAGCACAAAATAGACTAAGACAGTCTCCAAGGGAGGGACCTAGTATGCAGATTCTCCAAACTTGCTGGATAAGAGAACTCTTTTTTCCCAGGGAATGAACAGTTATTGGAAGGTGGGACATAATTCGGAGGTGCTTAACTATGCTATACTACCATATATAGAGTATAAAAAAAGTGTGTACAGAAAACAAATATTGAAAAGATGTTTACTGGAGGGTTTATAGTTTTATCTCTGGGTGGTTTGCAAGTGATTGCAAAGTGATTTTAATTTTCACTCGTATAGTTGTTTATATTTTCCAAATTCTCTATAATTTAACTTTAAAATAAAAAACTTTTAAAAAAAGTTTCTTAGGTTGTTTTTTTGTTTACATGGCTTAATCTGTAAAGATGATTTCTAGCTCTGCACCTCTAGCTCTGAGTGCTTACCTGTATCCCAAAACTATATGTCCAGCTATTCATATTTCTTGAAAGACCCACTGTATTACTGGAAACCCAATACGATGTCCTCAACTGCTCCTTCCTTCTCCTCTTCCCTCATCCCCCACACAGGGAGCCTTTTCTTTTAGGAGCGACATCATTCTTAAATGCCTCCAGAATAGAATCTTGATCATGATTTCCATGTTAAGCTTTTTCTTCCTCTATTCTTAGTCTATTATCATGTTCAGTTGATTCTTCCTCCAAAGTTCTCTTAGAACCACCCCTTCTCTCCACCCTATTATAACAACCTTAGTCCATCTTACTACTATTTAACGTGTTTAAAATACTGTTTTCATTATGTCTCTCTCCTGTTCATAAACCCATAGTAGCTTCTGCTTCACCCACACTGTCTCTCCTGGCTTATTTCCTAGAGTACCCAACAGTTTTTTCTGCTCCAGTTAAGTCAGTCTCTGCATGTGTCTTTAAGACTCAGTTATTTCATATTTCTTAATTTTCAGTTTGTTGTTTATTCTTGGCTTCAGGCCTTTATTTATGTAGTTTTATCTCTTAGAACACCTTTGGTTCTCTACTGTGCCTTTCTCAATTCTCCAGGCAAGGTATGGTATGAGCATCCCCCCACTGCCACCACAAAGTGTCGTATTTTCTGACAATTATTCTTTACTAGGCCCATACAATCTGCTTAGAAAGATCTGACCCATGTGATTTATGATCCAAAGTGCTCAGAGCAGTGGTACAATCAGAGGAACCCAGGGCAGCAATAAAAGTACTTTCAAAATTGAGTTATTGATTTGCATTTGTTAGACATTGCAATGGGGATTCCTAGGCCACCATCATATGACCTTAAAAATGTCACCTTTCCCTCTGTTTCCCTTACCTGTATCAGCTGTCTCTGTGAGTGTTCCACCCCCAAGTTATCCTTCAAAACTTGATTTTTCACCTTAGCAACTAAAATGAACTATTCAGGGAAATACAGGGGTTGGATGATGATAAACTAAAACTATATTAGAGAAGGGAAGGCTGAGAGGAGAAGTGACTGAAATAGTTAATATTATAGAGGATCTTAACAGTTTATTAATCTATTGGCTTACTTCTTTATACCTATACATTGTTTCAGAAACAATT